AAACTCTATGGGGCTATAGCTCAAAGTCTAAAATCAACTTGCATGCATCCAAAAACAAGGAGCTGGGTGGTCTTGAGATAGTTATTTGCTTCTTCTGGGTGTCACTTTTTTTTTTTTTTTTTTACTATAAAATGATGAGGTTAGGAATTATGTGATTTCTAAGGTCATGTGCAGCTGTGACAGTCTAAAAGTTTTAGTTGTAAGAATTGCATCAAATAAGATGAAAATGACTCTTAGCTACAGAAAGCCTGATGATGGGTCAACTTTATCTTCTAGACATGTGCATTTGCAATGTTTGGTACTGTCCCTGAGATTCCCATGTTTTTCAAAGTGAACTAGTGAAGGGCACCACCTACTATCTAAGGCTTTACCCACAAGAGTTGGCATAGCACAGTGTTTAAAGGTCAAGGTTATGGAATCAGACAGTCCTTCACTAGCAATGTAACTTGTGGAAAATTACTCAGTATTCTAATCTGTAAAACAGGGTAATAATAGTACTGCTCTCACAGAGTTATTATGGGGACTAAATGAGATAATGTATACAATACATATTGAACACACTTAGCATATAGTCTTAGCACAGAAAATATTAGCATTTCCGAATACAGAAAGAAGAGATGAACTCTGTGGTAGTAAAGCAAATGATTGATTGCCCCTGTTTTTATATTTTTTGAAAGGTCTCCTTTTCAATCAAACAGGCCCTTTGAAAACAGGGTGAGATATCATGCTTAATGAATAGATTTCACCTAGTGGTGATAACATGGACTTCAAAATCAGGCAGTCATAATTCACATACAAGCTCAGCCATTTATTAACTTTATCTTTCTGAATCTCAGATTACATATTTATAAAAATGAAGTTGTCTCCTACCTTCCAAGTTTGGGAATACTAAACTAAGATAAATCCCAATTCCTGGCACTTAGTGCATTTTCAACAAACATTATTTTGTTTTCACCTACCATCATGACTTACATATAACAAATGCTTAGTAAGTGTTCTTGGAATTGAAACTGTGGTGAGTTTTTGCTCTTGCTATCCAGACATTTTACTCTTGTTCCTTTCTGGTATTTTGTCCCTTCCTTAACCTTAAAGTGGCTATTCTATCCTGCTCCTAAACCATTAACCTTGAAAAGTAAGTTGACTTTCACCCCTGGAGAGAAGGGAAATCATGGAGAAAGTGGCAGGGCAGAAAGAGAAGGCAGCAACCAGACAACATCCTCATGGAAGCAGGGAGAGAGAAAGCTTCTGCCCAGGCACAGTGAAGATAGAGACAGGTAGTACTCATCAACTGTGGTCCTGCTTAACCTAGTCAGAATGTCCCAAACATGCTTGCGGTTGTAGTTTCTCCTCTTCTCAGCACCTTAATGTCATCAAACACACACACACAGAGAGAGAGAGAGACAGAGAGAGAGAGACAGAGAGAGAGAGAAATCACCCACATGGAAATAGCAGAGTTATAACAAAAATCTATCCAGATGCTTGCTTCCTCCCAGTTCCCGTTTCCTAAGGGAAGGCCACTGGATACCAACACCAGCCTAAGCTAAAATTGATTTCCTCTTTAAGGTTGCTTGATTGTAGTATGGTGAAGAAAAGCCAAAATTCTTTACTTGAGGCTATACTATGGAATAAAGACTAGGTTGATGATGTCACAAAAGAGGTTGAATAGTGTCAGCAGAGGCTGCAATGATAACTAAGGAAGTTTATAAATAGCACCATCCTAAATGGCAATTCACCCTGGATAAGCAGGTGGAATGGACTAGTTACAGGTAGGACTAATCCCATTATGGGAAATACCATCACAATGAAAATATTTCATTCTAGATTACACAGGCATTGCCTCACTTAGGTCAAGTAAAGTTAAAGCAAATCCTTAAAGACCATATCAAGAATAGATCTGATGCACTGAACACTATGACCAAAGATCAGAGAAGTTGTGGGATAACATCAATGACATCATATATGAAGAAAGTAAAAGGGCACTAAAAAGACAGGAAAGAAAAAAGATCAAAATGGATGTAGAAGAGACTCTGAAACTTACTCTTGAATGGAAAGCACCTAAAGCAAATGGAAGGAATGATGAAGTAAAATAAAAAACTTCAAAGAGTAGTTCAAGAAGTCAAAGTAATATGAATATGCAAAGACCTGGAGTTTGAAAAAACGGAAAAAACATGTTCAGCATTTCTCAAGCTGAAAGAAGTGAAGAAATATTTCAAGTTCAAGTTGCAATTTAAAGTATTCTGTAGACAAAATATTGAATGATGCAAGAAGAATCAAAAGAAGATGGAAAGAATACAGAGTCACTGTACAAAAAGAATTGGTCAATGTCTAACCAGTTCATATAATCAAGAAATAATGGTATTGAAGAAAGAAGTCCAAGCTACATTGAAGGCAGTTGAGGAAAATAAGGCTCCAGGAATTGAAAGAATACTAATTGAAATGTTTTAACAAATGGATGCAGTGCTGGAGATGCTCACTCTTCTATGCCAAGAAACTTGGAAGACACTGATGATCCAGCAGGAGGCTGAAATTATCAAACAATATCATTAAGAGTCACATGCAAATAAAATTTCACTGAAAATCACTCATTGACAAGGAACTGTCAGAAATTCAAGCTGGATTCAGAAGAAGACGTGGAATTAGGGATATCACTGCTAATGTCTGATGGATCTTGTATGAAAGCAAAGAATACCAGAAAGATATTTTCTTGTGTTTTATTGACTATGTAAAAGGCATTAAACTGTGTGGCTCACAACAAATTATGGATAACATTTCAAAGAATGGGAATTCCAGAACACTTACCTGTGCTCATGAGGAACCTGTATATAGACCAAGAGATTGTCATTTGAACAGAACAAGGGGGCACTGGTTTAAAATCAGGAAAGGTGGTGCATCAGGGTTGTATCCTTTCACCATAATTATTCAATCCATATGCTCAGCTAATAATCTGAGAAGGTGGACTATAGGAAGAACACAGCACCAGGATTGGAGGAAGACTCATTAACAATCTGTGATACGCAGGCGACACAACCTTGCATGCTGAAAGTGGAGAGGACTTGAAGAACTTACTGATGAAGATCAAAGACTATATCCTTTGCCATGGATCATATCTCAACATAAAGAAAACAAAAATCCTCACAACTGAACCAACAAGCAACATCATGACAAATGGAGAAAAGATTGAAGTTGTCAAAGACATTTTACTTGGATCCACAATCAGTGTCCATGGAAGCAGCAGTCAGGAAATCCAATGACATTGGATTGGGCAAATCTTCTGCAAAAGATTTCCTTAAAAGCAAAGATGTCATTTTGAAGACGAAGATGCATCTGGCACAAGCCACATTATTTTTAATCACCTCATATACATGTGAAAGCTGGACAATAAATAATGAAGACCAAAGAAGAATTGATATTTTTGAATTATGGTGATGACAAAGAATATTAAATATACCATAGACTACCAGAAGAATGAAGAAATCTGTCTTGGAAGAAGTACAGCCAAAATGCTCCCTAGAAGTACAGATGGCAAGACTTTATCTTAGGTACTTTGGATATACTATCAGGAGGGAACAGACCCTGGAGAATGACATCAGTGGCCCTTAACAATGGACTCAACCATAGCAATGACTGTGAAAATGGCACAGGACCAGGCAATGTTTCATTCTGTTGTACAGAGGGTTACTATGAGTCGGAACCAACTGAAAGGCACCTCCCAACAACAACAACATGTCAAGAAAAAGTAAACTAGAAATAGGGGAAAAAAAGTTGTGGAGGGAGGCTAGATCCTTGGTTGGAGTGCATTGCGATGAATAAATAAATAAGACGAAAAACATCAGCCACAGTATGTCCTCATTTTTCTCTTTCACCACCATATCCAGGGTTGATAAAGGGACTTGTAGGACTGGGCCCCACGTGACCACAGAAGCAGGGAACTGGTGGCACAGGGGAGCCCATCTGCTGGCTAATTGGCATCTGCCTGGAGATGCCCCACTCTCCAGCAGGCTCAGGCCTCCCTGGAGATTACAATCCCATGTTAAATAGGTGCAAAGGACAAAGGAAGAAATTCTGGTTCTGAAAGGGCAAGGAGGAAAGGGCTTGGACCTCTCAAACTCAGAACTGCAATCCAAAGCAGTCCTAACACCAAATGTATTCCCTGTTTGAGCCCAAGAAAAGCTCGTCTCCCCTTCTTATAAACAAGCTGGAAAAAACAGCTCCCAGGTGGTGGTGTTAGAAACCAAGAGATTGCTTGGAGGTGCCCAGGGGTCCCTAGAGGAAATAGGAGAGAAACAAAGGGTTCAGACACTTGGGAAGCTTGGAGACCTTCCTGCCTCCTAAACTCAAGTCCAGTCCCTCTTCCTAGGCTCCAGTTTTAAAGGGCAAGGAACACACCTCCTCTCCAGGATCTCTGGGCCAGAGGGGTAAATGTTTCCAGTTTTTTAATTCACTCGGTGGTCAAATATTTACACCGTGGGTATCAGACATCAAGCTAAGCGGTTTATTTACATCCTCCCCTTAATTCTCATAAAAATCCTGATATTTGTGTTACTAACCTCATATTCCCTTCACTACAAAGGGCACCAAAGGAGTGCAGAGAGAAACAGCAATTACCCACCCAATAAGCGGCGGGATCATAGGCCGGGTCGTCAATTCCCAAGCCACGACTCCCGGCCCGCAGGCCCGAGCGTCAGGAAAGGACACTGGCGTTATTACTCCGGCCGGCTCCACGTGGGGCCGCTGCCCACAGGGTCCCAGTGGGGGTTCCGCCTCCTCTCAGCGACGCCGGTCCTGCCGCAGGTGCGCGGGCCGCCTCGGAGGCCCCGCCCCTGGGTCCCTGCCTGCATTGGTGCCTCGCGCCCCGCAGTGGCGGGGCAGGACGCGCCGCCTCTGCCGGAGCCCGGGAAGCGTTCGGGCGAAGAGGAGGAGCCAGGGGCACCGAGCGGGTGGAGTCGGGAGCCGCAAAGTGGTGGAGGCGGATTTCCTGCGGCCGGCTCTTTGGGGCTACCATGGCGTTTGGGAAGAGTCACCGCGATCCCTATGGGACCTCTGTGGGCCACCTCATAGGTAAGAACACGCGGAAGGAGACGCCTGGGCAAAATACTGCGGACCGAGGAACCTCCGCCCGCTTTACTCCATTCTGGTATTGCGTTAGTCTAATGGCTAAGACACTTGCCTGCTAACCAGACGGCTGGCGGTTCAAACCCACCAGCCACTCCTCGGAAGGAAGGTTGGGCAATCCTACTTCCGTAATGATACTGCCTCGGAAACCCAAGGAGGGGTCGCTATGAGTCGGGGCCGACTCGATGGCACATAACAACAACAATAACAACAAGTTTGAAGAAATTCTCCCGTCGCCCACCCCTTCGCAACTTTTCCAAGGCATCTGCATTCCATCTGGCGCGTTCCTAGATAATTCTGTTTTCACGACTGTTTCCAGAAGCAGCTGCTGAAAATTTACCTCCTTGTGATGCCTCCTAACAAAACAGGTGAACCCCGGGATTCAGGAGTGGAGTTGGGGCCTCTACAAGGAGAAACTCGAAATTTCCTGCCAAGGAAAGTTTATTCATAAAGTGCGTTTCTAGCGGTCACAGGATTGTTACAGACGCTTTACAGATGCGGAGGAGGCGGCTCTGGGAGGTTAGATGATGTGACCTGTGACAGCCAGGTCACTCCAAACCAGGTGTCTGGCGCCAGGCGCATACAACCTGAGATGCTTTTCTGGGTGAACAAAGACGTAGAAATGCTCAATTACGGAGTAAAGTTGTGGAGCAAGGGAGAGATTGGGGAGGGGGGTGTCACAAGATGGCTACAGAGGCCACTGGGGACCCCCTGGCATCTGCCTCACTGATTTCTCCTGTGGCTGTCTTGTGCATAAGTCATGCGGAAGCAGAAGCCAGTGACCATTCTGTTTACATGTCATTTCTTTCATTTCTCCCTGATTCCGCCCTTGGAAACCGGGTGTGGTATGAGTGCATATTAATGTCAGGCTGGGCATGATGTCGGGAACTTGGTGGGATGATGAAATCATGAGAACTTGATAGTTACAGTATGGAGGCACAGATTCGAAGAGTTTTGGTCCCAGCTCTGTTGACACTGAACATGCCACCTAACCTGAATCTTCATTTCCACATCTTTATCAGAGGACAAGAGTAACACAGGGTTTTTTGAGGAGGAAAAGCTTTCTAAACTGTTGATGTCTATCTTCATGTTGGATATTGGATGTTGTTACAAAGAGCCCTGAGTAGAAACATGTTCAGACTGCATCTTCTTAAACAAAAATCACTTCAGCAGTGGAAAAAAAAACCAAAAACCTGTTACCCTTCATTCAGCTGGAACTCACTGTGATACCATGTGTGCAGAGTAGAACTGCACTCCATACGTAAACCTTTCACCTTTCTTCTGAGGCCTATTGTGTATTCCGTCTTACAGTGGAGCAGTTAAACTTAATCATTTTTGCCACCCAGGGACTCAGACTTCAGCAATACTTCTGATTAATTCTTTACTGCTTTAAACATTTATTGATTCCCAGCTATGTGCCTGGACCTGGGCTAGGCCCTGGTGATGCCAAGGTAAGGCATAATCTCAAACCTCAGGAAACACACAAGACTTGTAGGGAAGATGGGCACAATATTGTAGTAACTACAGTACAGTACCTTTGCGATACAAGGAAAATATAAAATGTACAAAACTTAAGAAGAGGCAGGTATTAACTCTACCATGGCATTTGAAGGGTAAATAGGAGTTTTCTGGGAAGGTAAGGGAAAGAACAAGAATGGGGAGGGAACATCTGGCAGAAGGAACAACAGTTTGTGCCTAACAACTTGAGGTTGGTTGGCTTTGCCTATGTAATGCCACATTCAGATAGCTCTTTTCTTAGATGGGAAACAGGCTAGACTATGGGATTCCCCCAAACAGGCACTTATTCTTTCCTCTTTATTAACCATTTTTCAATCTTTTCTTTCCTTAACCAACACCACAAATCTTGTGTTTTGAGGAATCTAGCCTCTCTTATGAGGAGCTCTGGTAGCGTAGTGCCTAAGGCACTTGACTGCTAACCAGTAGGCTGGTGGTTCAAACCCACCAGCCACTCCTTGGAAGGAAGATGGGGCAGTCTACTTCCATACTGATATTGCCTCAGAAACCCAAGGAGGGGTCGCTATGAGTCAGAGTCGACTTGACGGCACATAACAACAACAACGACATCCTCTCTTATAGGAAATAAGTTAAATTAGTTCATGTTGAGTGTTCTATTACCCTTCCCAGTGAACATTTTGTATTCTTAAAGAAAATAGCTGGAGAAAGATAGCTAATTATTTAATGATGTTTGAAGTATAGGACAGCTTGGGTTAGTACAGGTGTGGACAGTGACCTTGCTCTACTGCAAAAGGACACAGGCACATTGAGTAGTTGTGATATTTCTCTCTCTCATTCTTTCCCCTTCCACCTCTCCCCTAGAATAAATTTTTTTTTTTTTTTCCCTAAAAATCATTGAGATCAAACAGACATAGGTTTGAATCTTATACTGGCTGTGTGACCTACCTTGTATTGTGTAATTTCCTTGACCTCTTTTAATGCTGTTTCATCATCTCTAACAGTGGGTTAAATGAGATTGCGTAAGATAAAATACTTAGCACTGTGCACTTCACCTTGTAAGTAGATGTTCAATAAGCCATAGTTTCTTTCCTTGAAAGAATTTGCAGATACACATTCAGCCAACCTGTCCTGGCCCTGCAGCTTTGTTGGGCCCACAGTCTTTACTAATAGATCACTCATTACTGTTGCAACAACAGTACTCTGTACTTGTATTTACTGATAATTGTTCAGAAAAAAAAAATTTCTTTGCCTTCTGTTACAATCAACTTAATGGTTCTTGCTAGTTAACTCCATGCAGATTGTTTCAGGAAGACCAGGCATTTTTTCTTCTGTTGTAGTTCAGTCTCAACACAATAGCTTTTTCTTTGCAGAAAAGGCTACATTTGCTGGAGTTCAGACTGAAAACTGGGGCCAGTTCATGCACATCTGTGACATAATCAACACTGTCCAGGATGGGTGAGTACAGTGTGTTCATACACTTGCCTATGATAAGAGGCATCAGAACCACAGTACATTTTCTCTTGCAGTCACTTTGATTTTTTTTGTTGAGTGTTTTCATCATCCCCAAGGGCAGTGTCAGATTACCCAATAAGGTAAGCATGGGCTTACGTATGCTTACTTAATAATCTGTAGGTAACAATTTCACATTTTCTCACCACATCAAAGATTGTACTTCTTGGTATGGCTGGCATCTGTCTCAAATTAAGATTGTTTCCTGCTTTAGGAATTCCTTTTGTTTCGATTACAAGTATGTTAATGTAACTGAAAACTATTTTCAAGAGACTAGAACAAGAAATATTATCAAGAAAGTTGACTTCCTGGTGGTGACCTGTCTCTGGGCAATTATCATTGTTAACCAGGAAATAATCTATCAGTCTTTTTCCTCTCCCTGTCACAGTACAGTGTTTTTTTTTTTTCCTCTTCAGAATGCCATCTTACCCATGTTCATGCTCTGTTCTTAAGTGATGTGCTATCTTGTATTATAAGGAATACAGGAGCCCTGGTAGTGCAGTGGGTAAGTGCTCAGCTGCCAACTGAAGGGTTGGTGGCTTGAACCTCTCAGCTGCTCCACAGAAGAAATATGAGGCAGTCTGCTTCTGTAAAGATCACAGCCTTTCAGAATTGACTTAACAACCATGGGGTTTGGTATAAGGGATCCACTGCTATTATTTTTTCTGTGCATATCTAAGTAAAAACTGGCAGCAAAAGAGATTTAGTTAACTTAATATTGATGAGGAAAGTGTTGCACTTCATTGCTGATTATATACAAATAAAAAGTACTAATAGCTCTTTTAAGCATTTATAATGTTTTTCCTATAATCATGTTTACCATATTTAATTCATCTGTGAAACTATTCTTTATTGATAATACTAATTTCTTCATTGACAATACAAACAAAAAGAGATGTCACAGGCAAAGTAAATTTCAACCTTGTAATGATGAATGTTTGTATCCTGTAACATGAAATTGTAGCATCAGAAGTTGAACTAGTTAAAACTCCTCCAATATCCCTGACCTTTATAGGTCAAGAAATACTAATAGTATAACTTAAAATGACCAAGCTTCATTGTTTTGGAAATTTCATTTTCTATAAACTGATGGTTATAGAACGTTGTGTGCATTAATAGAGGAATATGAGTATGAGCACATTTTATATGCAGTGCTTTCTAGTTACTGTACCCTTTAATGTAATTGTCTTACTTGAATCTGACGATGGGGCAGGTGGTATTAGGCACAAGAACTGAAGTGGTCTTCCCTGCAGAACCAAGATAAGAGTCTTGGTCATCCATTCCTTACCCATTCCTTTTTCCACAATTCATATTTTTTTTCAGAGACCACTTGTTTCCTGCAAATGCCTAAATTGGTGATTTTACTGTATTTGTTGCTATAGGCCAAAAGATGCAGTAAAAGCTTTGAAGAAAAGGATTTCCAAAAATTACAATCAGAAAGAAGTCCAACTTACTTTGTCAGTAAGTACTTTAATGTTATAATTAAGACAGTAGGATTTCCAAGCCATGATCTTATTTTTAGTTCTAGGTTAAAAACCAAAAATATTAAAATATTCTGAGGTAATTAATAGATTAGAAAAATAAAATTTTGAATTAAAACTTGGTTTATTGGGAATTGCAAACCAGAGGGAATTTAGTTAATTGTAATAGCATTTAATTTCTCAAAAACAAAGTATTCCTGGAAAATTTATTTTTCCTGGTCAGGAGCTGGTGCTGAACCAGTCAAGAAGTTTTGTGTGTGTTGATTGAAGATGGGAGAACTAAAGTCTTGAAAAATGCTTCCCTGTTAGCTTTCTACTTCATTTAAAAACCTTTGTGGGATCCTGAGATTCTGCCAACTCATTAAGTTTCAACCAAGTTCTGCTACCTGGTATAATTCAGAGAAATGTTCTTTCTTGATTTAAGCAATTCTACTGTGTGTCATATTTCCTGATTTGTTTATAGAAGCTTATTTGACATGTTCCCATTTGCCCCCCATCCTTGGCCATATGATCTCTTCAGTCACTTTGGTGAGTTGCCCTTTTGACTTGGATGTTTTGCAAGCCCTGCCTGCTGCCTGAGAGTGAGCTGTGTGGCTTCCTAATTTCTTCTGCATGCCTTTGTTTACCTCAGCCCAGCCCCAGGCCTTGCTTCATTTCTTCACCAATCAACCAGCATCGCACTGCTCTTGGGAGCTTTGGGAGTGTTTATCAAGAATGGGTTATGGAGCAGATGTGAGCACAGCTCCCATTTCCTAGTTTCATGTGGAAGAAAATGTATCACATCTTGCTTACTTGAAGAGTAACTGAGAGGAATAAGAAGGAATGAATGGAACAATCTTAATGATACTGTCACTGAAGAAACTCTTCAAGTTGGGGTTTGAACATAGTTTTAGAAGTGTTTCTCTCCTTTACCTTTTTTTGGCCTCTTCCCTATCCCTTACTCTTATCAGCTACCTCAGGAAGATCACAGAATGGGGAAAACTATGAAGAAAGCAGTAAAATCCTTCAGAAGAAATATTAGAACAATGGGCCAGTGACAGAAATGAACCTTTAACTGGCACTTTCACATCATTTACTCAATTGATGTACTTAGCAATCCTGTCACAGTAGTTGTATTATTAACACCATTTCACAGAAGAAGACACTTTATAAGAGATTAAGTGACTTTTCAAGGTTATGTGACTATTAAATAGCACAGCAAAGCATAACAAAGATTGTGAGGATGCCCAGGACCAAGCAGTGTTTCATTCTGTTATACGCAGGATTTCTGTGAGTCGGACCTGACTCAAAAGCACCTAACAACAAGAAGTAGCAAAGCCAGAATTTGAAACTGTCCAGAATCTAAAATTCCTAGCCTTCCCCTCATACCATGTTGCTTCTCAAAATAAATCAAATCTATTAGGAGAGACTGTTGTGTTTCATTTGTCATCTTCAGCTACTTTGTGTATAGTGTAGTGCTGAGTACATTAGTGTATCAGATGTTGACTGAATCAATGAGGAGTGCTCTCCGCACCCTACCCTACCTCTCCCACTATCCAGGAAGACACAAACATTAATTGGAAGGTACCATATAGAAAACGAAACCAAACCCATTGCTGTCAGGTTGATTCTGACTCATAGCAACTCTACAGAACAGAGTAGAACCCCATAGGGTTCCCAAGGCTGTAAATCTTTATAGAAGCCGACTGTAACATCTTTCTCCCATGGAGCAGCTGGTGGGTTTGAACTGCAGACCTTTCAAGTAGCAGCCATGCACTTAACTAACCACTGTGTCACCAGGGATCTTTGGTACTGTGGAATTAGGGTAGAGATATCTGAAGATTTTCCATAAAGTACTGTGGCTCTAGGCTATCTCGAGACTATAGAAGGTTAGAAGAATTGAGTAAGGAAGGTAAGGAAATGAATTTATGTCACCTTCTGCCTTTCAGCATGGGATATTATTTTATCTTCTCAGAGTTACTTATTCTTTATTATGGGTTTAGCTCTTTATTGTATCCAACCTACTTGACATTTCTGTAGTTGCTTCTCATCCCCATCTCCATATCTTCCTCCATTGCAGTGTTTTTTTCTGAAGACAAACTTCCTTGAGGAAGTTGGGTTATTCCAGAATGTTCCTTCTTACCCTCTATTTCTCTTTGGGCTTCCAATCTTCCTTCCCTTTAGGTAATCTAATCTCAAGCCTTACTGCCAGCTAGCTCTCTGTTTCCATTACCTGTTCTACCTCAGATAGTTGTAGGATCTGTGCTTCATAATTACCACACCAGTACATGAGAATAAGGAAATCTAAGCATTTATGAAAATAAGGATAAAAGTCACAGGTTGGGGGGTCAGAATATGCCCTCAAAGTTAGGCTCAGCATTCGAGTTCTGGAAAAACACTTACTTTCTTGGGTTTTCTTTGAATAGTCTTATGACTGTTAATGTCTTCAGGCAGATTTCCCTAAGTTCTCCATCTAATGGACCAATCGCCTCACCTCTGACCACATTGTAGGTATGCACTTAAGTCTCAGAACTGACTTCAGTACTCATTTAAGCCACACTTAATTACATGAGAAATTAGCTGCAGAAGAAATTATCCAATGTCTATCAAAAGCAATGATAAATTTACCAATAAATGCTTTAAAAATTAATCCTGATATATGACAGTTCCTTTTTATTACTGTGAAGTGATGAGAGCCTGTCAAAATCAATTGTAAATGTTCTTTGTATTATCTCTCATTTGGGTTCTCCATAGACTTGTTAGCCTTGATTAGGCCTTTGATGAGCTCTGACTATATTGTGATTTCCTACCATCAGTCGGTGGAACAGTTTTGTCAAGAAGCCAAGGGTTTTTTTTTTGTTTTATTTTTAAAAAAGGCATTTTGTTACTGGACTTTATAACTCTGAACCAGAAATTATTCTTTTCTTGAGTGAGGCAATTGTTACAAATCTCAACAAGATAGTACTTTTATTGTCAAATGGAAAGTGGATGAACAGGTTCCTGGGAATTAATTAACTAATAGGCTTTTGTGAACCAGCAACTAGGTACATGAGCTGTGGGGGTTTTAGAAGAAGAGGAAAATATGATTGTCCCTCCAGGAGCTTGTTGCAGTTGGAGAGAATGAGAAGAGTGAGCTGTGCCCTAGGAGTGACATACTAGGGTGGCTATACCGTGGTGTGGGCCCCATGGTCCAGGTGTGGTCCTCAGCTCTGACAGCTCAGAAGCCTGGCCGTTGTCAGTGCACCAGGGTTATCAGTCAACTTAGCCAATTCAGTTTATAGAGGGCTGATGGATAAATTTCTGTCAGCTTTAGAAATATACTATGAGAAATAAAACTCCCCTTCTTCAAGCCTGTCTAAAAATAATACTCATATTAGCTAATTAACATATTCTTATCTCCCAATAGGAAATTCTCCAGAGAAGCAGATGATCAAAATAGTTATCATTTATTGAGGCCCTATTATGTGTCAGGCTCTTCATGAAGATGATATTTCATTTAATCTTCACAATAAACCTCTAGAGGAAAGTATTCTGCCCATTTTGCAGAAGACAGTGATGCTTAGTAAGAATAAACGGGTTGCTCAATCAAGAGCAAAAGGAGATCAGGAAGCCTGGAGTCTCCCACTTTCATCTGTCTTATTTCTTTGTCTCCTAGGCTTTCTGTCTAGTCTCAGATTATGCGTTCTTGGTTGTTTTATTTCCAAAGATAGGTTATCTGAACATATTTGCACCAAGGCCCAATTTCAGAATGTGTAAAAACAACGTATTTAATTTTTTCCAATTTGGCACATTAGGTTTTAGTACATATCTACGTGGTAGCACAACAGCAGTGAGTTTGTTTTTTTGTTTTTGTTTTTTTAAGTGTGTGAAGGGAGTAGGAAGAGATATGGGTGACATAATGGAGGTGGTAATGTACGAGTAAGTTGTCCTGAAATACAGTATTCCAAAGGAAGAACACAAAGGGTAGATTGCTGATCTCCAGATGTCGACCTTCTCAACATTTCATGTTGGCTCTTTGACTTTGTGCCTGTACCTCGTGGGAATGTTACCCATTATCATAAAATCTTGATGCTCCAAAGATAGAGATTCATTTGTGGAATATTCACCACTCATTTTACTATTAGAGAAAATAAAATTTGGAGGCTAACTATCTTGCCTAAGACCACATAAACAGTTGTTGCTGTTGTTATGTGCCATCGAGTCGGACCCGACTCATAGCGACCCCTCCTTGGGTTTCCAAGGCAGTATCACTATGGAAGTAGATTGCCCAACCTTCCTTCCGAGGAGTGGCTGCTAGGTTTGAAGTGTCAGCCTTCTGGTTAGCAGTCAAGTGCCTTAGGCACTGTGCCACCAGAGCTCCTAGTAAACTAGATGAAGTATTTTCTATAAACTCCCTTTGAACTAGAGGCACTTTTCCTCTCAGCATTTCCCCCAGTAGAATACCGTTGTAATAATGTATCCCCAGCTTAAAAAACATTTAGTATTTAAATTTTCAACTCATCTTCTAATCAACTTGCATTAATATAGAATCATTTTAATATGTTTTAGGTTTTATTTTTCTTTTCCTTTGCTTTAAACATTTTCTCTGTGTTTCCCATAGATTTGTGCTCAGCTTCTTCTGTATTTTCTGATTGCCTCTTGGCCACATTGCCCTAAAACTTCAGCTTTCACACAACTTTCTTTTTGTACGCTATTAAAATGACACTCAAAATACAGAGTCTGGTATAAAGTCAATTTTCAGGGCGCTTTTCTGCAGAGATGATTGTCCCTGTGATTGTCATGTTATGATTTCTGTGACCTCTCTAACATGATATGGTTGCATTGAAACTAGAGATTTAGTGTTGTTTTTAGGTCACTTTTGGAACTCTGCTTTGTGCTTGCAATTCTTCGATACCAGCTCATTCTTTCTTAGCCTGACTTCTGTTCATGTTGCTTTATTGAAAATAGTTTTAAAGGTAAATAATGACTCTACTAATCAAAAAATCTAGTTGAGTTTTTCTCAGTCTATATTCTTGACTGTTTATCACCCCCCCAAACTCTGCCCTTTTTTGACTTTATCGTTATCATGTTGACCTTATTTTGTGCTTCACTTTCCATTGGTTGCTCTTTAAGTGCATTTATTGAGTTTCCTTCCAGCTGTGTAATAGATAAATCCCATTGTTCCAGCCCTTCCTCCTCTCTGCTCATCTTAGGCAG